GTTTCTAATTCCACATGGTGGCTGTGTTGGTATTAATGATCTATCCACAACCCTTGTGGACCTAGCCACATTTTCAGTTTCCTAACCTATAAACACTCGGCAGGACTTCTTTGACAGAGGATCAGCTACCTACACACAGAACAACACAAACACAGAATAAACGTACACAGACACCCATGCTTCGAGTTGGATTCGAACCCACGATCCCAGTGTTCGAGCGGGCCAAAACAGTTCATGCCTTACACCGCCTTACACAGCCCGGCCAGTGTGATCGACGCTATAAATTATAGACATGTTAAATCTTGTACAAGTATTGGGTGGTCTCTAGTCCTAGAATATTTCATGAAAATCTCTCTCCTTGTTCAGAAGTTACACTCTTTCTTAGGACACACACATAAACATGATGCTACCATTGGCTTACCTCTCACTGTAAAATAAAGAAAGTAGGTTAATAAGATTCATGATAGTATGAAGTAGTTGGAACCAGACCCATAAATCTTTACAGCGAGTGGTAACTCTATCAGGTCGGTTGTTGCGAGTAAACATTGATCTTGTTCTTTCACCTCATTAATGGAATGTACATAATTATATGAGCGTAATATTTCCAGCAGAAAGAAAGATTAAACTTATGTTCTTCTCCGCTTATTTTACATTAGTCAAGAATTAACAAGTATTTTTTTTCTAAATTACTAAATACTTGCATTTTATCTTTTTTTTTTAAATTTGGCTATAAAACTGGCTCTACAGCCCCCCTTGGGCTCTGGCCTTTGGTTTTTCAGTGTCATCATAATTTTATAGACGTTAGGATTCCTTGGACGAGTGGTCAGCTCGTCGCAATGCCTCTACCTAAACACAGGACAAAACGAACACAGAATAAACACATATACTCGAACCCACGATCCCGGCCTCCAAGCGAGCGAAGACATTACATGCCTTAGACCGCTCGGCTACCGTGACCGGCTCAGAACGACTATTAGTAACGCATTTTGGAGAAACTCTAGTATTCCGATTATCAAATCCTTGACTCATAATTTCACGTCTAACTCTTATCGTAATTGGGCAAGCGATTTGCTGAAAATTAATACAACCCACGCTTATGCTAAAATGAGGACACTAATGGTTCATTCCTGGGGTCTCCAAGTTGCCAGAATCTGGTAATTCACACGCTAACTCGAAACCAGAGCAATACGAGCAGTTGTTCCATTGCCGCAAATCGCGTTATTAGTTTCATCTGATTCAGGAGGAAATTAAGAGGCGATTGAACTCGGGTAATGTTTGCTACCATTCAGTCCAGAACCTTTTGTCTTCTCGTCTGCTGTCCAAATACATAAAAATTAGAATATACAAAACTATAATTTTACTTGTAGTTCTGTATGGGTGTGAAACTTGGTCTCTGACATTAAGGGAGGAACATAGACTGAGGGTGTTTGAGGACAGGATGTTGAGAATATTTGGACCGAAGAGGGATGAAGTGACAGGAGGTTGGAGAAAACTGCATAATGAGGAGCTTCATACTCTTCTCCAATATAATTAGAATGATCAAGTCAAGGTGAATGAGATGGGCAGGGAATGTAGTACGAATGGGGAGAAGAGGAATGCGTATAGGATATTGGTGGGAAAGCCAGAAAGAAAGAGACCACAGGGAAGAACAAGACGTAGGTGGATGGACAATATTAAAATTGATCTTAGAGAGATAGGATAGGATGGTATGAATTGGATTGATGTGGCTCAGGATAAGAACCAGTGTAGGGCTCTTGTGAACACGGTAATGAACCTTGGTGTTCCATAAAAATGCTGGGAAGTTGTGAGTAGCTGCACAATTGGGGACTTCTAAAGAAGGGCCCAGCTCCATGAGTGAGTGATGCCTATGATCATACTTTTAAATGTAAAAGAGTTTTCACTTCCTGGCGAAGAATTATTATTAAGTTATTTTAATGTTAATCCTGGGTTAATGCGTCATTCCCAAGGGCTTCGAAATATTACAAGGTCTTCTGGAATTTCTCTGTAATTCGGACCGAAATGAAGAAACGCGAGGTGGCCTTCATGTGTTGAATAAGATGATGGTTATTACATGCTGGATCTGCGTGTTCATAATATCGCATCCCTTATCATGCATAAATAAGCATATGCTCGTATAAGCGCGAGCTCATAACGCAGTTCCAAGCCAAGAGGATTAATTAATAAATGTTTTCGCAGTTATATGACTGCCATGTTTTATACCACGTTATTAACTGCAGAGAATATCATTAATTTTTTACCTGGGCGAATAATAATGAATTGTGTTACCTCAGTTTGTTGGGGCTTCATTTTAATGGGATGTCCAGTCTGATAAAAAATTCAACATACAATTCGTTTACGGATACAACTACGCGTTTTTACTCCGTATTTTAATATTAACTTCATGGAACAGGGCATTTCTTGAAAAATGGAGAGTCACATATCTGGCCACGAATTTCCCATCTCTGTTGGAACTGTGTTTTTTGGCTTGTTCAAAAATGTCATTTGACCTGATATTAAGTTACTTAAATCCGCCCTTCTCTTCATGTTCATGTTGTCACAACATCTGCACCTGGATCTCCCAGATACTTTCTTCTCTTCAGGTTTTCTGACTACATCTTCGGTCTTTGTATATTGTCACATTTTGCGGTAGTGACTATTAGACGGGGTTTTCACCTGATGATTCGACTTATTGACACCTTATATACACAACTGACGCACGCGGTAGCGTGGTTGGTTGAGCCAGTGTGCTACAAGCCGGAAGGTCGTGGGTTCGAGTCCTGATGAGGTGGATATTTCAATTGAACTAATCCTTCCAGCCGCACTATGGTCCTGGGTTCGACTCAGTCTCTAACAGAAATGAGTACAAGGAATCTTCCTGGGGGTTAAAGGGCGGCCGGCGCGTAAGGCTGACAATCTTACCGCCATCTGTGAGCCGATTGTCTAGTTAATGTAGGACCCTCAATGTCTCAGCCCTATGGGCTTCCATATCCCGTTAAAGGGATAGCTATATACACCAGTCGGAACTACGGGTAATACAGCGTTATCGCTAATGTACACAATTTACAGGTCACTGTTACACATACCAGTGCCCTCAGTCTGTTACATTCTCAGCTAGTCGTTTCCTGGCAATAGACTCATAACAGTTTCATTGTAACTTCAAATCACACATGAAGTACTTTGCACAGCCTAACTCTGCTGCAACTGTCAACTTAAGACTCGACTCAATTCTCAATCTAGCTGCGTGAGATCCTCGTTACATGGCCTCGAGGCGGACATACGGAAAACACCGCTTCCTCATAATGATTCACTGCTGCAGAGATGTGTTTATCGCACACTTGCGTAGCAACGAGCGCGGAGCGGACCCACAGAGAACGCCGCTTGCAACACCTCTTCTAGTGTTGCATGATGTCATAGCGTACCTGACGCGTTCCTCTGCTGCGTCTGTACGGGCCAGTACCAAGCAACGGCAGTTTCTTTGCCTCCACAGTTCTTACTTTGAGAAAATACACCACAGTACCTTACCTCTCCCAATGATTGGTGAATGTCCCAAACATCTCATTCTCCCTTAATTCATCGCTCTAATTACATTTTACACACACTACAAATTACAAAGTCCCTCATCTTGCAGTTTTCATGCGGCCCCCTGGTACTTCCTCTCTCTTGGGACTGAATATTCTCAACGCCCTCAATCTGCGTTCTCTCCTTACAGCGAAAGAGAAAGTTGCTCATGCGCAGAAAACAATATTGAAGATTTAGTTTTGCAGTCCCATGTTTCTAGATGTCTGTCTATGGCTCTACAGTCCTTTGTTGGATCTTGGCCAATTTTTTCGGTTTCTTATTCCTATACACAGTCGGTAGGGCTGCTTGGGCGGGGGATAAGCCCGTCATAAGGCCACTACCTGCACACAGAACAACACAAACAGAATAAACGCCCACAGACATCAATACCTTGAGTGGGATTCGAACCCACGATCCCAGCGTTCGAGCGAGCGTAGACGGTTCATGCCTTAGACAGGGATAGTACTCCTTTGTATCTGGAAGGTATCGGATTCGAATCTCGGGAAGGAAACCGGCTTCCATGACTGATGGTTTTAGTGACATTATTTAGTAGTTCCACGACAACATCATATATATTTAAATATTCCCTATATACTTAGCCCGGATAGCGCAGTCGGTATGAGCTACGGGCAGGACGGTCGATGGTTTGGAGTTCGGGTCCCGGTAGTGACAAGATTTTTATCTTCTCCACGTCTTCCAGACCGGTTCTTGGACTCACAGCCTCCTATCCAATGGTTACCGGGGGTTCTTTCTGCCGGGCTGGGATGAAGCTGACCACTCACCTCCAACTAGTGCTGAAATGAAGAATACGTATATCTATATAACCTCCCGGAAATATGATCGCCATGAAATTGCACTCAGAAACATCTGCAAGTCATTTACACGTATTTCTCATATGTAAAGAAAAGAAAAGTTGCTATATTCACGTTTAATCATTTAACTTCATTTTGTATCTTATACTGTATCAGAACGGGGCACGCGGTAGCGTGGTTGGTTGAGGGACTATGCTACAAGCCGGAAGATCGCGGGTTCAATTCCCGATGAGGTCATTGGATATTTTCAATTGACCTAATCCTTCCAGCCGCACTATGGCCCTGGGGTCGATTCAACCTCTAACAGAAATGAATACCAGGAATTTTCCTGGGGAGTAAAGCGCGGCCGGCGCGTAAGGCTGACAACCCTACCGCCATCTTTGAGCTGATTGTCTAGATAATGTGGGAGCCTCAGCGTCTCATACCCCTATGAGCCTTCATGGCCTGTTACAGGGATATCTTTACTTTTTTTTTTACTGCATCAGAATATTCGTAACATGTAACGTATACGAGTATACGATAAAACAACAATGTATACTCCTCTGTAGACGAATGGATTTCCTGCAAAGTTATTGCCTGGCCTTAAGCTGATAAACTGAATCTTTTTTTTTTCTGTCAATATTCCATTAGGAAGACTGATTAGCTGAAACATCATGTGCGATATATCGATCCCCAATGCTATCGACATGGAAGAAATCGATATCGTAATGAAGAGCCGTTAGCCGCAGAATGAGTGACGTGGAAAATATGAATTGTGGTCACACTCTACCGCTTGGAGCGCTAGTGGTGCTGCTGCTAATTGGAAACGCGGTGCCTGCGTCACCCCAGGTGTTCGGCGGAGTGCCTATCATCGATGAGAAAGGTGAGTAAGCGATAAATAAATGTTTACATCAGCAGAACAGAATGAAGAGTGGTGGAGGTAATCATTGGCTTTGTAATTATAACTTAATACAGATGTTATAGCGTGCCCTTAGCTTCTTATCTCCGGGACCGAATTCATTGAGCTTTAATTTAGAGTTATGGAATGATTTGTAAAAAAAAAAAAAAAAAAACTCCGTGGCCTGTAGTCCGCAAGCGAACTATACAGACTGAGTGACTGCCGCTTGACGTCGAAGTTAGTGCCAAATTTTGCAGATAGAGGATGTCGCGTGGTCAGCGCAACGGATCCCCACGGCCATTAATCTTGGTTTTCTAGACCGGAGCCGCTATTTACTTGAAATAGCTCCTCAGAAATCCTCACGAGGCGGAGTGGGCCCCGTTCCAGACCCACTACTTCTCAGAAAATCTGGTAGTGCCGGGAATCGAAACCGGGGCCTCTGGTTATGTAGTCTGACTACTAGACTATAGAGGCGTCTGGAATGATTTGTACAGTTACATTTTTTTGCGGCAAACGTCGCCTCATTATTACCCATTCCCTTATATTCGGGAGGATTGATTTTCGATTTCCAGGTCTGGGATTGTGACCTTTCTTAGTACCTTCTGCCGAATACTAGAATATTAGGTCTACATTAAAATAACCTACGATAGTTTCCATGAATGTCCTTCACAATTCTCCTGCTTTACTTCTAAAAGCAATGCATCTAATAAAGCGTAGTTAAGTAAACTGAGAAACGGGCCGCACCATAGCTCAAGCGGTTAGTCGCTGGCTTCCCACCGCGGCGGCCCGGGTTCGATCCCGGGTCTGGTCGAGTGGGATTTGTGGTGGACAAAGTGACGCTGGGGCGGGTTTTCTCCGAGTACTTCGGTTTCCCCTGCCAATCTTCATTCCACAATTGCTCCACAATCACCCTCACCTGTCATCTGGGGCTGGTACAATATGCCAGAAGTGGCCACAGTACAAAGGACTTAGTCCCACCCCACTAGCAATAAAAAAACACAAAACAAGAAAACTAAGAAACGAAGCAGAAGTCGTAACAGACTGACCTAGGCCCTCCTGCGCTAAACACTGTCCTTAGTATTGGTGTGACTGGATGGTAATGACAGCAGGTTCTGAGAATGTAGTGGAGTAAGTGGCCGAAATCTGTTTTAATTTTTCTTTTCCCACTGGCTCTATAGCCCCCTTGAGCCCCGGCCTATGAATGTTTTCAGTTTCATGATCGTTCTACAGATGGTAGGTCTCCTTGGACGGGTGATCAGCTCATCACAAGGCCGCTACCTAACCACAGGACAACATAAACACGGAATAAATACATACACATGTCAAACATCCATGCCTTGAGTGGGATTCGAATACACGATCCCAGTTTCCGAGCGAGCGAAGACAGTACATGCCTTAGACCGCTCGGCTACCGTGACCGGCAGTGTATGAGAATAATATATAAGAATTCAGTTCGAACCTCACAGGAAACAGATCCGAACCCACGATCCCGGCTTCCGAGCGAGCGAAGACAGTGCATGCCTTAGACCGCTCGGCTACCGTTACTGGCAGTGTATAAGAATAATATATAAGAATTCAGTTCGTACCTCACAGGAAACAGATCCGAACCCACGATCCCGGCTTCCGAGCGAGCGAAGACAGTGCATACCTCAGACCGCTCGGCTACCGTGACCGGCAGTGTATAAGAATAATATATAAGAATTCAGTTCGTACCTCACAGGAAACAGACCCGAACCCACGATCCCTGCTTCTCAGCGAGCGACGACTACATGCCTTAGACCGCTCGGCTACCCTGAGCGGCTCTGTTTAAGTTCGTATCCTAATATTCGTCAACAAAGATCGATAGGGACACCATTTTAATCAGTGATTCGACCTAGCGACCATCGAATGAGTCATACGGATAGCGGCTGCCACGTTTTCGGGTTATCGATTTGAGTTCCGCGTTATTCAGCCCCACAAGCTGATAACCATTTCGTATCTATTGTTCAGCTAAAATCGAACAAGAACATATTCAAAACGAGACTTGTCCAATACCTCATCAATCATCAACTGAGTTAACTTCGCGATAAAGCGTTAGTCATCTCCTCGTAAGGAGGTCCTAATTTCTGATGCATTTTCAGGGCCTATTATAATTCTCGCAGCCTATTGTCTTAGAAAAAGTTACAACATATTCCTCCCTATCAGCCAGTGTGGGTTCCAGAATATAAATCCCCCGGCACCGCTTATTAGTATATGATGAATTTCCATTAAGCATCCACCCAACGAAATATTCAGTTCATTGTCTATGAGACTGAAATTTATGCGTTCGTATTATGACAGGATGACTGAAAATGGCAACCGTTACTAGGCAACGGCTTGTTAAACACATAATAACTGAGATTTTGTGAGGTAACGGCTTGATAAACATGTCTTCGCGATAACGAACATATGACGCGACGATGGATGAATTGTTGGAAACGGTGTTTTCCATGCGGTACTTGCGGGAGCTATATAACAGCAGTTTACCAGAAGTACTGATTGGCTCGTTATGCGTGCTCTGCAATCCTCTAATGACAGAACTTGTGTATAGTGCAAAACGACGAAATTCCAACAACAGGCTATATGTGCGAAATACACATTTGACGAAAAGCCAATCGTATTTATAGGACAAACTCATCTTCTCGTCAGAGAGGATGTTACTTAAGGACTCTTATCACAAGTTTGCAGTTGAAAAGAACAAATTTCTGGGATTGGGTATCGAAGGGCTTGACGGCAAAACGAACTGATTGGCGGAAAATCGCCTGTCGTATAGCAACTTTAACTTTGAATAGACTTTGACTTTAAACTGATCGACGGGAAACCACTATTCGTAAAGTAATTCTGGCTATAGAGAAGAACTCAGTCGCAGTCATGAGTTACTTACGGCCATGCATTAGGTGAAGGCAGAAGGCCGGCAACAACGTGACATTGTTGGGATCCTTTACCAGGCAACAGCTAATGAAGAAACAGAAGACTTAGCTTGTACTGTAGTGAGAAGCAGTGTATATGAATTAGTGAGAGCGTTGTAATTACTTGTAATTATCATTTATAAGAGTCCAATAAGTCCAATTACCAAACCAAATCCCGTGTCTAGTCACTAACACGTCATAGTATATTACTGGATGTGATATAACAAAGGAAAGCTACTGTACTCCAGACAAGAGTCGCTCAACATGTACAGCCCATAAGATTTCTGGTAACGACTTTTAATTTGTAGGTTGTTATGGCCTGTTGAATGTTATTTTCTTCAATTTGGTGCATTGAAAATGCCAAATGTCGTTTATGATCTGTTATTGGCTGAAGCTTCGGTAATGTACTCAGGAAAGTTGAGTTGTGAGGAACAATTTCATGGCTGCGCCTAACGATTTGTTCTCAGACAGGAGGTGTAATTACTGTCTGTTTTTTCTGTCTCGAAAATCGTTTTATGATGAAGAATTGCCCAGATTATTTTTCTCTGGGCGAACATAACATTTCTATAGTAGACAAATCATTTCGTCGATAGTGTTCGGAATTGAACTGTCGTCAAACAAAAGTTATGTAAAGAAAATTGCATGTCACAGTTTATCCGCAACAAGACAACGAAATTCGATTATATCTGTAAGATTTAAGGTTTTCAAGGCGGTGACTATGAAGAATGCCTTCTTCTGGGATGCGGCGAAGTGTAGATATTTTGTTAACCGACGTTTCGAAGGAATGTATCACCTCCATCTTCAGGGTATAAAAAATCCGCGAGCGATGAACCAGCGTCAGCAGGTGTCTGTAGACTAGATTATTTTTGTATTCGTTGTGTTAATAAAAATTTGTAATCGAATTCTATTTTCGTCCATATTAATCGAACAGGTGTTTGGCCCCAGCTTACACGAACCCCAACAACTCGAACTAGTAGTCAGTCTACATCTGCTATACCGTAGACCTACACAAACCCTCAATACAGACAGGGCATCAGACGAACTTCGTGGCCTGTAGTCCACAAGCGAACTATACCGACCGAGCGATCGCCGCTTGTCAGCGAAATTAGTGTCAACTTTAGCGGATAGAGGGTGCCGCGTGGTCAGTGCAACGGTTCCCCACGGCCGTTAATATCAGTTTTTTAGACCGGAGCCGCTGTTTCCTTGAAATAGCTCCTTAATTATCACGAGGCTGAGTGTACCCCGTTCCAGACCCACTACTTCTCAGAAAAAAATCTGGTAGCGCCGGGAATCGAACCCGGACCTCTGGATCTGTAGCCAGGAACTCTGACCACTAGACCACAGAGGCGGTCTGAAGGTGTGCTAGCTAAGTTTAAATAAATATCCGTGTGGACATTTTCGTATATACACAAACCTCAATCTGGTTGCAGGTTACGTTAAATAGATAAGATAAAGTTGTAGCTGTGCACAACGCCTTGATGGCGTATGGGGAAGTAGATATATAGATCCACATTTTCTTGACCTTGGTACTAGTTTGACGTGAGTGGTCGGCTTCACGCCTTGGCCACTTTACACCCTGTACCAACTAGATAGAAGGTTGGGTGCACCCCAGAGCCTGTCAGGACGACTTGGAGAAGAGAAAATTCTTGACCATAACGGAACTCGAACTCCGAACCCTTGGTCGTCCAGCCCATAGCCAGTCGCTGTACCGACTACGCTATCAAGGTTTCTCGGTTACGTTATACACCACAACAAAATTTAGTATTTATTTTATTGGATATAAATAATCTATCCATCCACTTCCCCACACGCCTTACGGACGTGGTGCTTAATTAATTAAGCACAGGGATAACTTCACCTTTATAAATAAGCTTGAGTAAATGATTTCGCTTATGGGGGGTGGAGTCCAGGTGGGTCCACTCGGCACGGCGGCCACTGATTCCCTATTGTAGCCTGCCCCGAGTGATTATGATGATGGAGAATTTGGTGGAATAAAGATTGGCAGGGGAAACCGAAGTACTCGGAGGAAACCCGCCCCAGCCCCACTTTGTCCACCAC